TATTGGCCAGGCACCTCAAAATTAAGCACTTGTATTACTTGCCTAATTGATGGTCTCATAGTTCGGACAGGATGAGTACACCAAAGTCCAACAAGCATCAAACACTCCATCTCATTCATGTTAATTAAAATCATTGCGAAGTTTTTGGTCGGCCACACTAAGGAGCATTTGTTTTCCGTATGCTTCCCAAACCCAGGCTACCAATGATACCTGATCCTTCTCATGTCTGGGCTCTACGGACCTTCTATCACACTCAATTTCAAGTGCCACAACTCCAAAACTATAGACAACTGACTCCTTACTTGCCTTGCTTGTGGTGTGACAGATAGGAACCATGTAGCCCATGGTCCCAGCCCATAGAGTTGTTGGTGATCCTTTCTCATGATCAACTAACCTTGCTAATCCAGAATCCCCAAACTTAGCATTGAAAGCTGAATCCAATATAATGTTGCTTGTTATAATATCTCTATGTAGCACGCAAAAATCTCCTTCTTCATGCAGATACAACAAAGTTGATTTCAAACCCTGCACAATTTTGTATCTAAACTTCCATGGTAATAGACTTACTCTTTTGAAGAGAGATAAGAATCCAGGCTGCCATTAGGCATGAACTCATAAGCAAGTAAAAGTACCTTTCCATGGCACCAACCTATCAGCTTCGCTAAATTATTGTGCTTCAATCGACTGATGATCCTCACTTCTGAAATGTATTCCTTGATCCCTTGTTTAGATCTTCTCGAGATCCTTTTAATTGCAACATTTGATCCCTCAAGAAGCCTTCATTAACTGCTCCAAACTCTCCCTCGCCAAGCTTCTCTTCATGATCTGCAAAATTCTTTGTTGCTTTAGCTAATTCATCATAAGAGAACTCCCCAGGTCCCATGTGGTTTCCAAACACATCATCGAAAGACATATGACAAGCAAGAACATCTAGTTTGCCTTTTGCCCCCATTCTCCAAAAAGAGAACAGACTGAAACCTAAGGTAGAAATTACAATCAATGCTGCAGTGGATATACCTACCAGTAATTGTGTCCTATTCTTTCTTGCTTCAGGAGTTAAGGGATCAAATGCCTGGAGCAAGTGCAAAGATAGTTGGGTCTGCAACAGCGGAGCTTGGTTTAAATATTGGTGAGGCAAGGGACTGGTCTTTAGGCTGTTTGTTTGGAAGGATAAGCCCCTAGTTTTTCTCAAGTTCTGGCTCTTTATTATTCTCAATGTAAGTTTCAATAGGCTTTCCAGAATTCTTTGGTGTCCCATTCTCATGTTTACTAGATTGAAGATGTAAGTCCTGGCATACTCAATGGTTGTTGACTTGTTGCCATTCCACCAGCTGAGGGCCAACTACTCTCGGATATCATAATATCCAAAGAACTCCGGCCAAACCTTTCAAACGCAGCCTAAATAGGATCCAGAAGTGCATCAAAAAGATTGCACTGTGCATGATGATCTGAAAACACAGGCAATGGAGATGTGAAAGAGAGAAAAATGGAGATTCATGTCATTGGACTTCTTAATGTAATTGAAATATGGATGCAAGTTAACAAGTAATGGGGCTGAACTATTCACTAAGAAGTGGATGACAGGATCGAGCACTGGTTTGTATTCTGATCTGAAACAGCAATTCAACGGAGGGAAATATGATCCAATGATGCTTGTGTTGATTGTTGTGGATACTTTGATGTCAAGTCCAGCCGCTGGAATTGAATTTTGAATCTTCTGCATTGCGGGGACTAAAAATTGGGCACATGAATCAGAAGGCCTCACTAAAACCAAGTTCCTTACATCAATATAGCGAAACTGAACTTCACCATAGTTCTTGACATATTTCTGAATCCATGCATCTGCATTGGCTTGACTGGCAGCAATCTGTTGAAGTTCATAGTTGGGAGCACCAAGAATGAGCTCGATGTTGGAGCCTCTAAGAGCTTGCAGAGCATACAAGTCTGGAAAATAGAGTCTCATTCTTTGGATGTTATTCTGCTTGTAGAGAGCAAGAACTTCTGTTGCATCTGGTAAGCCGCTTCCAAGCATTCCATAACAAACGCCAATACGGGGACTTGGTGGCTGGGAACTGGAGCTTGGCACCACTGCTAGTGCTGGATAAGGATATGAACTGATAGATCCATTGATTTCACCATTATATGACCTGCCTGCAGCATTAATAACAAATTGAGCAATCAAAGTTATGCCGATCAAACAGAGAGTTATTGAAATATTATGCAACTGCGTTTTGGTAATATGTAATGCAAATTGTCGAGAATGCCTTGCCGTTTGATTCAGTTCCTCAACTCAACATGCATCAAGCAAACAAATTGTCCATTTAGCTAATATTAAAAAGGTCAAAGACTTGAGGCAGCAGAAAAATTGCAGTCTTTACACTTTCAGTGCATATATACAAGGTTTGATAACCATCACTTCGAGAAAATAAACAGAAGTTTCCTGCATTACAAAGGATCTCAAGAATGACCCCAGTGAATTACTTCAATTAGACCCCCTCAGATTCATGAAAAAAGAAATTCAACTGAAGAGTGCATGTGAGAGGGCCCTGTTTTTAATTTTACCATATATTGAAAGTAAGGAAATAGCAAGTCTTTTGAAGGTCTTCTTGTGATTACATAGTATGGTTTTTTTTTATCAAAAAGCCTCATCAAATCAAATCAGGAAACACAAATGAAGGAAAAAGAAGTAAAAAAACCCACGAGACTTGAAGCAATTCAATTTAAATTTTGTGGAATACATCCTAAAATAAGGGAAAATAATTGAAAATACTCAATAAATTTTAAGTTCAATTTAAATTAAGGATCTATATTTTTGTTGTCATTTGTCTGTCACAAACAATTAAGTGAGACATTTATGCTGAATAAGGAAAAATAAAATTAGAGAGGACGAGGAAACTACATGCAGCCCAAATGAACAGGCCCAATAAGTTTTCCCCTTCAAATGAAAATAGAAAATCCATTGGAAGCCCAAACAAAAAAGCCCATATCTTTTAGCTGTTATGTAACAGTTGGGTGCAAGATCCAGATTAGGCACATAACCCCCTCAGTCTCAGGATGTAAATGAATTTTTTGAACAATTTTTCACGGGACGGGGTTAAAACCCGCTCAAGAGGGAGGGGGAATGCACCTCAAGCTGGCAAGAGGCTAGTTGACCCAAAGGGCCAAGTGCATGATGTAAATGAATTGGATTCCCTAACATTGATTGTTGGCCAAGATTTATGTTGTTTAGTGGTAGTATTAATCCTTAGATTGAATCTATTAGTAAATAAATATCGTCATATATATTAAGTACAAGTTTAAGTCTTATTAGTATCAACACCTAATTAAGTATATTTATTCTTCTTGACATGAAGGTTATACACTTAAAATTACCTTAAAAGAAACTAATAAGAGTCCATATTTCAAATTAACTTAAAAATGATTACCTTTAAGATATGTAAAAATTGATCTTAAAACACCTAATCATAGATAAAACTCTCTTGGTAAGTGGGTAAATAAGGTGTTTCTTGTGCTGTGTTGTGTGTGTATATTTGAAAAATACAAGCATATATGCACCGAA